GCGAAACCGTTTATCGCCTATTAAATCTCAATGGTATTTTAGATTGGGAAAACTGTCTGGCAGCCATTTCAGCATTTATTGGACAAGAACGAGTGCATATTTACTATTTATTCCTGATTAAAGGTGAATGTGGTCGAGAACTAGTAGTGGTCGGCAAACCAGCGCAGTCACCCTACCTTGGGAGTTATGAAATCCTTAACTTCCGCGCGGGAGTTATGAAATCCTTAACTCCCTTGGGAGTTAAGACCCTGTTTATGATTATCGTAACCATAAGGTATTATATGGGTATAATGGTTCAGTAGGAAATAAATAACCATTCGTTTCTAGGTACAAGTACATGTCAAAATACAAAAACAATATTCTGTCACACAAGTTTAACTGATTTTGTTTGATACTAAATTGATGAAAGAACATTATTGTGTTGAGAAGAAAATAAAGCATTGTATGCACCACGGGGATTTTTAGATTTTAATGCCCTTCAGGCGAAACATATCCCTCGGGACAGAGGCCCTCGGGCTAGTTTCGCCTTCGGCCATTATAATCTGCATTCCTTTGGTACATAAATAGCTATAATAGTTTTCAATTTTAATCAGACCTATCAAAGTTACCGATAATAACCCGGTTAGTTTCAGTTAGTTTGCAAAAAAATGTCTAATTAAAATTGCAATACCCAAACTAATCGGGTTGTTATCGGTAAGTTTGGTAATGTATGATTAAACGAAAAGAGTAAGTTTATACATTTTAACATTATACCTGAAAAACGACGAATTGACGTACCTATATGATGAATTACCTATACGACGAATTAACAATATGACGAATAGACTTATACGACAAATTACCGCTACGACGAATTGACTTATACGACGAATTGACTTTACCACGGATTGACTTAACGACGAATTGACGGATTAACTTATGACGAATTCACATGACCCCTACACAATATGGCCGCGATTCTCAAAAGCGAGGCCGATAAGCAATCATTTCCTTTAGTAGTGTATATTATCCTTGATAAGTACTATCAAAGAATAGGCAGTTTTTGACGAGGATAAAGCCTGCTAGTACTCATAACTGCGAAATTCGCACTTTTTTGACATTGCTTCGACAATTTGACGTTTGATTCACGCATGAAACGTCAATTTGTCAAAGCAATGCCAAAAAAGTGCGAATTTCGCAGTTATGAGTACTAGGCTAATGGTCGTTTCCACCAACTATTTTAGGGAAGCCCTAACGATAAGTATTCCCTAAACTGACATTTCTCTATGTAAAAATGTCATTTTAGGGAATACTTATCGTTAGGGCTCTCCTAAAAAAGTTTGTGGAGACGGCGATTAATCAAACAATAGTTGTATTCCTTTCACACCTAGGAGGAGCTCCGGAACAGCTCCAGGGCGTTACGCGCCTATTCTTTTCGAAAAGTGTTTGTTGCACCTGAGTTCTCAAGCCCGACTCAAACCATTTAAATGCATGAAAGCCAGCGCATCTGTTCCTTTCAAATCGGGGTCGACTAACACCGGAGCAAGTAGCTCTAGTGTTTCAAGCACACAAAAGGAATACAACTATAACCGCTTTCCAGCTGTGTGCTTCAAGCACGGGGCAGCACAGTGTTCTGTGTTTGAAACGCAAAAGTTAGTAGCTCTCGAAGCGCAGTGCGGCTGGAACACGAACACGCGCTTGAAGCATTTGCGCGCGCAAAAGCTCGATTGTGTGCTCAAAAGCGTCAGCTGGAAAGCGGCTTATTACAGTGGCTAAATGAACCTTTACATACACACGGGTTGCCAACACTTCCGAAAGTAACGTTATGGACTATCGAATGGACTATCGAATTTACTAGAAATCTACTTGACAGTTAGGTATACCTGTGACGCCGCTGTGTATATTGCCATCTCGCCGCTCCATACAACTAAAATTAAAGTCTGTTTTTTTTTTAAAGATAAAAGTCAAAATGACATTATGTTGGCAATACAATGTAAAATTGTCAATGCTTTCAAATTTTTTATGTAAAAGAGGCTTGTGTTGCCAACATAGTTACTAAATTTTTGACTTGGGGAATTATCTTTAAATAAAAAACAAACTTTAGATAGCGAATTATCGGTTATAATAGTTTATTCAAAGTTACGAATGTAGCGAGTGTAGCGACACTTGACTAAGAGCCAAGAGGAGGTCGTTTAATTATAATGCTGATTCTACCATTCTACTAGATATTCTTAATTCTGCCCACTAGAACATAAATTTGCCCACCAAATGAAGACCTGAATCTACCAGATTTAGTAGAAATTCTACTAAGTTGGCAACCCTGACAGTGGCGACAATAGAGGTCCCGCCGCCATTTTGTGCCCAACCTCGTGCTACTTTTAAATAATAATATGAATATATAGGATTTAAATGGACATCTATCATAAAAAATTGAAAACAACGTATTTGAGGGCATTTTTTCAGTTTCAAAGACCGTTTTAAAACAGTTTCAGCTCTGACGTCACAATTTTATGAACCGAAAAAATTCAACGTTTCAAAACTACAATGCTAACCCTCGAACCCGGCATCTGTTCAGTTTGGCACCGTTTTTTGACAGTTTGCTCCATTGAAACCATATTGAAACAGTCTCCGAGAAGCTTTTAAAAACTTTTTTTTAAGATAAAAGTCAAAATGACATTATGTTGGCAATATAATGTAAAAGTGTCAACGCTTTCAAATTTTTTATGTAGAAAGGGCTTGTGTTGCCAACATAGTTACTACATTTTTGACTTGGGGAATTATCTTTAAAAAAAAAACGAACTTTATAACGTTTTGAACCAGAATCAAGTTTGACGTCATCAATAACTCAAGGAAATGGAGTGTTTTGAAATGGTTTCAAAACGCTTTATCGCAAAAAAATGCCCTTGATGTGCCTAATCATAGTCATCGGATACGTTGTTTACAATTTCCTATGATGAATGTCCATTTAAATCCTATATATTCATATTTGAAAGTAGCAGGTTGGGCAAAAAATGGCAGCGTTTTCCATATGAATATATAGGATTTCAAAGAACCGAACCAATCAAAAAGAAGATGGCAATTGTCGCCACTGTGGTATTAGAATCACTGTATCAAGCTTAGGTATCAAGCATAATCTGACTATAGCCGCTTTCCAGCTGACCATTTTGAGCACGCAATCGAGCTTTTGTGCGCGCAAATGCTTCAAGCGCGTGTTCGTGTTCGAGCCGTACTGCGCTTTAAGAGCTGCTAACTTTTGCGTTTCAAACACAGAACACTGTGCTGCAGACTTCTGCACCGTACTTGAAGCACAAATAAAACGCAAGTCGTCAGTGTTAGCTGGAAAACGGCTAAAGCCAGGGACACATCTATCATGCATTCTTCCGATCCGACTCCGATCATACAATCAAGGTCCTTATTCTTGGGACAGGGGAGCAGCGGAACACTCGTTCTTCTGGGAACGCTGCTTTCTGTTGTCCAAGAATAAGGACCCTCAATGTATGATCGGAGTCGGATCGGAAGGATGCATGATAGATGTGTCCCGGGCTTTATGCTGGGCTATGTGATGTGTCAATTGTGTCATACTCCCCTAACTCCCTCACCATCAAATTCTAGGCCTGCGAGTGACGTCACTACCAGCAGCTTATAGTGATTACCTCACTCGCAGACCCCGATGGAATGCTTGCGATTCAGGCTGTGCTAGTGAGTTAATTTTTTCGTCGATTTTAAATATAGAAAAGGTGATTTTCGGTCATTTCTCACAGAAGAAATTAAGTGTTCTTGATCATCGAGTATCTCAGAGTTTGATGGTAGGGGAGTTAGGGGAGTATGATACAATTGACACATTATATTATCCAGCAAAAGATTATGCTTGGTTATCCTCGCATACTTTTTAAAGGACTTTTCAGTATTGGCTGGCAGTGTCGGGTCGCGAACCAAGTTATCGAACGCAGCCGATCTTAGGTCTGTTCGCACACAAATCACAAACCAGTCAGGACCGGTTTCTCAAAGTAGGCCTGTTTCTGCAGAAATCACAAAACAGTCAGAGTGAATTTCATTGGTTGAAACTAGTTTTCTGACTGTTTCTGACTGTTTTCAACCAATGAAATTCACTCTGATTGGTTTGTGATTTCTGCAGAAACGGCAGAATCAGACCTAATAGGCAATAAACGAGTTCGAATAATACGTCGGATGCCTCGGAGGTACTCCAACCCGTTCGTTTATTATTTTCGAGCACTCAGAGGTGCGTTCTTTTTTGACATCCGGGAGGGTTTAGATGCTCCTCGATTTGCTCGGACGTTTTCGACCGACGATTCAGACGGATGAATAAATATTTGACGTTTCATTCTCACAATTTACATTATTTTCCGGCCCGCAGCCGCTTCCCGCGACCAGTCAAGTTAGGTGAGTCCAGTGGTAGTGGTTCGAACAAAACAGCACGTTTATAAACATCAGCTTAAAAAGAGCGTTCGAATAAAACGGAGGAAATCGAGCACATCTGCGCCCACGTGATCAAATATCCATCTCATCTACATCTCATCCGCGAGGTAATATTCGAACTCGTCTAATAGCGAGTCACCTCCGGATTGTTTTAACTCGAGGGTAAGCGTGTCGACTTGCTATGTTTACTCTGGAGTAATGCTTAACCCGGGGTGACTCGCTATTGAGAAACCTGCCCTCAGAGTGAATTTCATTGGTTGAAACTAGTTTTCTGACTGTTTTCAACATTGAGGTTTTTCAACCAATGAAATTCGCTCTGACTGGTATCAACATCAACGCTGGTATGTGATTTCTATGCGAACAGACCATCTTCGATCTTTTTGTCGAGCTTAGAAGGTTTTCATTATTCATTTATATCTGCTCCAAGCAGATTCTGGACTTCTATTCTCAAAACAGACAAGAGAAGCTTCGTTAACTCATCGCGTGAGAATGTAACTTAACCTGTTCCGAGAATTGGTGTCCAGATCTGATCGGAGCAGATACAAATGAAAACCTTTATAAACACTTCACTACCAAATTTGAGGTTAGGTTAGACGAGAACAAATCCGTGACCTATCACTTCAAGATTATAAAATTTCAAATTTTATGAATAAAAAGTAAAAATAATGGACCAAAATGAACAGCCACAACTCAGCGTTTTCAAAACAGTCCTATCATATTCCCTATTTATATTGGTATCGCCAGTATTAACTTTTTTTGTATTCAAATTTATATTCTTTGAAGGTAAGCAAACAGCACACAAACTGAGTAAACAAATCCATAATTATTTTTCTTTTAGGTATTGTAGGTACAAACAGTACAAGCAGCAACGTATGGTCGGCAGTGTTTGCAATTATAGTGCTGCATATCGCCCTTGGCATGTACATAATGAGGGCTTATTCAGAAGCTGACAAACCAACTAGAACAAAACCCATCGACAAAGTAGACTAGTCATGTGATAAGATATGTCGATTAGATATAAGGACTAAATTAAGCAGTAGATTTTTCTAAATGTTCAATAATACAATAGTAACTGTGAATGGAAGGTAGTAATGTATGCTTTCTGGTTAAGAAAATTAAGTTTTGACGGTTTTTAGTCTATAAAATAGGCCTGTAGCAATTTGAATAATTCTTGAGATTTCGCTATTTTTGATTTAGTTTTAAACTAAAATCTGCGCACTAGATCCTAGTTGTTCTCGACAGTTACCCACTTATTTTCCCTAAACTAGGAATAAGTAGCAAATCTTCAAAGGGCTCATCCGTTTAATTGTTCTAAAATCTTAAGAAATCATCACTTTAAGTTACGGGTATTTCCGATGCTCCAACAATTCTTGCAGTTGGAGGGTGCAAGTCACTGCAATACTCTGATGGAAGTATTCTTGTGGTTTCGTTTTGCAAAATAATTCCAGTTTAGATAATTACAAAAATGATAGGATTGATAGGTATGATAATAAATTTTTTAACTAATCTAAATGTATGTTTTTCCAATTTCTATCCAATGTATCAAGCTTTTGAATTAACGGTTGAAACTGTCCTAACAACAGCAGCAGCCTGAAGCAAACTTCCATCCTATCAATATGCAATTTATTGTTATAGTGCAGGCTTCCTATACTACTATAGGTGTACTGTACAGGGTGATTCAAATTTGAGATACATCATTGGGATCTCGGAAACTGTGGAATTTAGGATATTCCAAATACTTTTGGAGACATTCGGGAAAAACCGAAATTTTACAAAATTGTTTTTATTTTTTACTGACTTTATTTGAGGTGATATTCCAAAAAAAATATCACTTCATCATGGCCACTTTTTCTCCCCACAAGATGCTACCATTAAATTTAAAATCTGACATTTTGTCTTTGGACCACCATCATCAACTTTTTTTTAAATACTACCCTGGATTTTTTATCTCAGATTGCGATGGACAGTTTTTATACAGGGTGTTTGGTTTTTTTTATACGGCACTTAACTAATTTTTTTTCATTGCACCCCCCTATATATTTTGAGGCTTTTGAAAAGGGTGTAAAATTTTCTAACTTCCGATATATCACTCGTTATATTTATGTTACAGGGTTTCCGTTTTCTGAAATCAACCATTGGGATCTCAGTAACAGTAAGAAATGCAGGGTCGGGTAAATTAGGGCAAAGTTGCGGAATTTTATGGTCAATCCAATGCCGTTGTGAAACTTGATAAATTCCAAATACTTCCGGAGAGATTCGGACACCCTGTATAATATTTGATATAGGTAAATATAACAAGTGATATAATATCAAAAGTTAGGAAATTTTAGTCTCTTTTGTTATTTGAGCTGTATCCAGAGCGAAAGCGAGCTGATGAAATGGGCCAAACAATCCAAACATGTTGCTAGATTGAGGGGTGCGCAGAAAACTGCGAAAACTTCCTACCTGATGAAATGATGACCTACTACTCCTACTAGCTGGAAGGAATCAAGACAAACTGGATTGCCTAGAAATCCTAGAATAAAAAAAGTAGACCTGTTATGATATAGACTTATTATGAGATCCAGCAGGCTGTGCAGTGATGATGATGATATATGACCTAAACAAAAAAAAAACATTCTTGCACTGATCCTCTTGTGGAATAATCTCCTTTGAACAATAACCCAACCTTCTACTATACCACCAGAAACAATAAGGCCTTTTAAAACATGTATGAAGAAGCTTCTATCTCCATCCCGATTATTTTCAATTCATTATTAAAAATTGAATAAAAACTCTAGGGCGCCTTTCCCTTTCTAGAATTTTTATTCATGTTTGATAATGAATTTTTCCATTTTAACTAATAGTTCAGTATGTGCTTTCGAAGAATATGATGCTATGGAAGTCGCAATATACAGGGTGAATCCGAAAGTGAGGCTTTTTTTAACGGGATATATATATCTCACCAAAATAAGTTGTTTGGCAAAAAATTGTTTATACAAAAAATTTAAGGTAACGGAGTTACAGCGTTCCTATATGAGAACGAAGGTCCTATCTTCGCCGCCCTACTTGCCCATACTCATGTTTGCATAACACTGACAAAGACCAGGATCAATCGTTCTCATGAGAACGCTGTTCCCCAGTTTCGAGAATACTCATTCAATTATAAAACATTATGTTAACATTTTCTCGGAAAAAAAGCAGTTATTTGTCCAGTATAATGAGTTTTTTTTCCATAATAGGTAATCTACAGTTGCATTATTTCATCAGAAAAATCAATCAAAAACTCCTTTTTCCATTTTCAACCTAATAATTTTTATATCTTTAAATACCTGTACATCCGTTATCTTAAATTTTTTATGCAAAAAAATTTTTGCCAAGCAACTTATTTCAGCGAGATATATACCCTGTTAAAAAAAAAGCCTCACTTTCAGATTGAACCTGTAGGTATATAGAACATGAAAGTACGGTATCCGCCAAAATAAACAGTACTGAAATCTAGAGCTCTGAGCAATTGCGCACGCAAGTTGCATTTACCGTATTTCGCTTACTTGTTATTAGTTGTCAGTTTGACTTTTTTTTTCTAAAGTTTCAAACCTCTAGTACAATAAATACTACCTAATAGGTAATAAAAATATTACCAATAGGTAATTTTTTCTTCGCTTCTAATAAGAAGCGACTAGAAATACTAGAATACAATACTTTTTCTACGTCTTGCTTTTCATAGAGCAAGTACGCAAAAGTTCTGAAGTAATGCACTGGGATTGGAATTCTAACATGAACTAAAGTAGAAATAAACATCAAAATCCCTGAGTCCGTTGCAATCGTTCAGTCGGGCTTCGTCAAGTTTCGGGCGATATTTGACTAGTAGGGATATGAAAGGACCCGCCTCCTTCTACCTCACCGTTTCACCCGCGCCCGCAACGCTACCTGAGCAGTGCGGCGTTCATGCACTCTTAAGGCGAAAATCTTCGTCAATATGGCTCTTTCAACTGAAGAAAAAGTTTCCTTATAGTCGGAGAGCCAGCGCCAAAAAAGTGCAAGAGTTTCATGAAAGCTGAAAATGTAATATAAACTTGTAATTGTGATGTATATGTCGCAGGCTTATTGTAAAATCAGTCTTATTATAATACGCCTAGGCCCCAAATACTTAAGAATTTTACAATTAGACTAGTAATTTCAGTCGTATTATAATACGCCTGCTGCGTGTTAGTCTTATTGTTTAAATGAACCTGCATTAAAATCTGACTAGATGAAATCCGTCGTAGTGCATGAACTGTAGTGAGTATCACGAATGGAGATTATGAAATTGGTACCATACACGGCTTAATTGATGATTTTCAAGGGATTAAATCACTGACTGCCAAATTAGGTAATGAAATAATTGATAGTCCAGAAAGAGAAACAAAGATACCTGTTGCGCTGAAGGGTAGCTTTCCTATTATAATACTTTAAACTTTGGTGATTAAGATGTCTCTTTGGCATAAAGACTAAGAAAGTTAGCGTTCAGCACAATATATCGGCCAAAAGGCACATTGGAAGTTTTATTCAATACAATTCGCCTGGTGCACTATCAGTCGTATTATAATACGACGGATTTCATCTAGTCGGATTCTAATGCAGGTTAATTTCAACAATAAGACTAACACGCAGCCGGCGTATTATAATAAGACTAAAATTACCAGTCTAATTGTGAAATTCTTAAGTATTTGGGTAGTATTACGATATGCCTAGTCGTATTGAAAAAGCCTAAGAAGAGTATTATAATAAGACTGATTTTACATTAAGCCTGCGACATATATAACTATACTCGAGACAGCAAGTGAGGTAGCGGGACAAGCTACGCCCACGCACCTTTGAATGTGTAAAAAAATAATCGCGATGAAAGAGTTTCATGACAGCTGAAAATCTTTCAATCCATTGTTTATTTGACTATTTCACTAGAGTGTATTACACTAGCAATAAATTCGGAATTCAGGTGACAATATTGCTACCTGGACAATACTAACAACATACTATTTCAGCGACCATTTTTTGACATTGTCAAACTGGTATTTTTAATTTGAAGTTTTTATTCACATTTTTGCATTCCATTTATTTTCAAAATCTTACGAGAAATAGTCATAACGAATACCACTCAAGAAAAAATTGTGTAGGCAAAATTGTTCTCAAGGTTTTATTCAAGTTTGTTGCTTTTCGGCAATTTCGCTCATGAAATTTTTGATAAAATCACCAAAATTGCCAAGCAACAAACTTTCATACCTTTCGAAAATTTTGCCGACAAAATTTTTTCTCTTGCGATATTATATATGATAAAAAACATGACGCACATGGTCAGATAGCATTATGTTAGGACAACTAGAGTCAGCATGCCCATACAGGGTGGTCCATTTAACTTGAGACAGTCTAATATCTCGAAAACAGTGCGTTTTTGAAAAAAAAAGTTCAAATAAAAGTTACATGGTATCATGTGGGAAACAAAATGGCGGTACTGATTTTTGACTTTGACAACGTTTTCAAGGTTATTTCAAGGTCAACTCTTTTTTTTCAATGGAAATATATTTTTTTATCACAGAATCTTATTCCACAGAAAAAAACAAGTAACTTTTACTTGAAGCATTTTTCGATCCGGTTTTAATTTAAGCTGATAAAAAAAAACGAATAATTTTTTTTTCTCCTCAAATCGAACAGTAGAGAAAGGTTACCAAAAATACCTCAAAAACTATAACAATTGATCAAAATGACGATCGCCGACTTCAACACACTTGTCAATTCACTTTAAAAATCAAACACACAGTTTATCAAGAGGTTCCTACAACACCGGATAATATGATGGAACACATAATAAGAAATGCTTAGAGCTGTCAGTAAAGAAACTGTAATTTGGTGCCATGAAAGCTTTTTACAGCGAATTAACAAGTGTGTTGAAGTTGGCGGTCGTCAATTTGATCAATTGTTATATTTTTTTGAGGTATTTTTGGTAACCTTTCTCTACTTTTCGATTTTGTGAGGAGGAAAAAAATAAGTATTCGTTCTTTTTTAGTTTTTTATCAGCTTAGATTGAAACCGGATCGAAAAATGCTTCAAGTAAAAGTTACTTGTTTTTTTTTTCCTGTAGAATAAGATTCTGTAATAAAAAAATATATTTCCATTGAAAAAAAAGAGTTGACCTTGAAACAACCTTGAAAACGTTGTCAAAGTCATAGATCAGTACCGCCATTTTTTGTTTCCCACATGATACCATGTAACTTTTATTTGAACTTTTTTTTTTCAAAAACGCACCGTTTTCGAGATATTAGACTGTCTCAAGTTAAATGGACCACCCTGTATAGGCATGCTGACTCTAGTTGTCCTAACATAATGCTATCTGACCATGTCCGTCATGTTTTTTATCAAATAAACAATGGATTGAGAAATTTTCAGCTGTCATGAAACTCTTTCATCGCGATTATATTTTTACACATTCAAAGGTGCGTGGGCGTAGCTTGTCCCGCTACCTCACTTGCTGACTCGAGTATAGTTATATACATCACAAATACAAGCTTATATTAAATTTTCAGCTTTCATGAAACTCTTGCACTTTTTTGGCGCTGGCTCTCGGACTATTAGTAGAGCACTATTTCCGGTCATACGGATTTGGAAGGAATAACGGCCGCAGTTTAAAACAAGTCTCAGAAAAATAGCCAAATCCACTATTTATAAATATAACAATACAGGACAAATCAAATTGCACGATAAAACTTGGCTCGTCGCACGAATGAAGATATTTTATGGGCGTATTTGGCTCCTGCCATATCAAATTGGTCGACTCATGCGCTGGTGTATGGTGGGCTAATGACTTGCAGAATCCTTTTGAAGCCTGTTTGCGTCGCTATCAGAGGTGGGCACAGTTAATCGAAAAATTAACTTCGTTAGGGCCAAATTCTGGACTGACTGGTAAACGTCTGGTTCTAACCTAGCAGGTACTTTCTATGCACTAGAGAATAGAAAGTACCTGCTAGGTAACAACCAGACACTTACCAGTTGGTCCATAATTTGGCCCTTAATCGTTAATTCGCTACTTGAAAAGTCTGTATATTGCAGAGAGTGTATATATACCTGGTCTTTAGGAAGTACAAGCATACTATTGTTGAAGGTCCCTATGATAGGTACTCGACAAACTTACAACATCCCTCTGCCAATTCCAAGAACAAGCCAAATAAAATCATTTATTTACAATGCCAAGAAAATGTTTAATCATCTTCCTGTTGATATAAGACGTATCCAGAATGCTCCTAAATTTAAAGCGGAGACTAAACGTTTACTTGTGCGGAAGGCTTATTATACTGTCACTGAGTACTTTGAGGATCGGTTGTGAACTAATTAGTTATAAGTTGATATTTTAACATACCTTGTGCAGGTTTTATTAATTTTTAATTTTTGATAATTTTTAATTTTTATTTTTGTTACAGTTAGTGCTAGATGTATGTATGTATGTGTGTATGTATATTTATATATTGTTGATTTATGTACATACTTGAGTCTTATTTTATTATTGTATTACTGTGTTGCATAGGCGGTTCTAGGTGGGGGCTTGGGGGGGCTAAGCCCCCCCAAATCTGGAATTAGCCCCCCCAAATTTAAATTAGTGATGAGTGGCAAAAGTTCACAGTCCCTGAATAAAAAATATTCAAGCGTTAGAATTAATTAACTACATTACCTATTTCATTAATTTCACTGATTTAATACCTTTATCTAATTATTTCATAAATATCCGAAATCGGGACGTCTGGAAACAAAGGCAACCCTAGCCCCCACCGCTAAGGACAGGGTTGCCTCTGTTGCCTGTAGGTGTGTGTAATAAATAGGACCAGCCAAAGTTTACACGCTGCTCTGTGGAAGCTCCTGTGGGATCTCAACTATTTGCCTTTCATGAACAGTTAACCTTTTTTCCTGTATGGAAGCTACTACTTCTTTTTTGTCTAAAAAATCTAGGGTGGCGTAAGCATCTCCATTTCTCAGATGGACCTTTCTTAGCCCAAAGTCAATTATCGCGTTATTTTTTAACAGGAAATCCGTGCCTAAAATTAAGGGTGTCGGGAGCTTTTCTACTACTAATGGCTCTATACAATGTGTCCAAGATAAGTAGGGCCAGTATGGGGATCTCGGAAACAGTGTAAGATACGACGTTGCTCGAATTTGGAAAAAGTTGCGCAATTTCGTACTCATTAAAATACCGCTCTGATATTTTAAAAATTTTGAGTGATACCGGAGATATCTGGGAAAACTCGAAATTCGCCGTAAATGATTTTTTTTTCCTGAGCTTATTTGAAGAGAAAAATAAATGGCACTTCATCATTGCCACTTTTCCTCCTCTACAATTTGGCATGATCAAATTTGTGATCCGAAGTTTCGTCTTTGGGCCACCATATCATCAGATCCCCATACTGGCCCTCCTTATCTTGGACACATTGTATGTCGTACTTTCTTCCCTATTATGGAGTTTAGCCTCCGAGATCCCCAAGGGGGAAATTCTATTGCCACCTACGGTCACCAAAGAGATTTTCTCATTTGAGGGTATGATTTTGTCAATCAACGATTTTTCAGTTATACATCGACTTGATCCAGTATCTAAGACTATTTCTACGTTAGGCCGGTTGTTC